CCAAAACAATGATTCACGAATGCAAACCTGACCGTTGTTTTAAAAACAACAAATGCAGTAAAGGGTTTCCACAACCGTTTGTTGAGAAAACACACGACGATAACAACGGATATCCAAAATATCGACGACGTGATCGAGGAGCCGTTACTGTAAATGGGAAACAATTAACCAATCAATTTGTTGTTCCATACAACCCATATCTCTCCTCAAAGTTTGATTCACATATAAATCTTGAATGGTGTAACAACATTACCGCAATCAAATACTTATTTAAGTATATTTATAAAGGATCAGACAAAGCAGACATTCACATTACTAATGCAGAGATTGACCAAACCATTGGAAAACAGGCACCCAATGAAATTAATCTCTACGAAACCTGTAGATATATTTGTTCACCCGCAGCGATGTGGAGAATCTTTGGCAATTCTGTTCAAAAGATGTCTCATAAAGTACTGCTGTTGGCTGTGCATTTGCCGGAACAACAATCGGTATATTTTGACCCAAATGACACAAATGTAGAAAATCTAAGCAGTAAAGCTAATTCTACATTAACTAAGTGGATGACATATAACAAAGATTATAAAGGAAATGAAATTCCGAATCCACGAACTCTGTTATATGATCGATTCCCCACCCATTACACATGGGACAAAAATGAATGGAAAAAACGAGTTAATAAACAGAAATATCCAACAATTGGACGAAAGTATTTTTATAATCCTCGCGATGGAGAGAAATATTATTTGAGTCTTATGCTTTCACACATCGCTGGAGCCACGTGTTACGAAGACTTGCGCACAGTTAATGGAATACTCTTCGACACATATAAAGAAGCGGCCCAAGAATTGGGTCTGCTTATGAATGATAACGAATCCGAGTTGTGCCTAAGCGAGGCAGCTCTACAACAAATGCCAAACCAATTGAGAAATTTATTTGCTATGTTATTGGTTTTCGGCGAACTAATAAACCCCAAAGAATTGTGGGATAAATTTGAATCGGAAATGATACTCGACTATGTACGAGAACACGAATCACTTCGCGAATTATTTATTGAAGAAATCCCACAAGAGTCCAGAGAACGCTTTGTGAACAAAGCTTTAGGTGAAATTGAGCGAATACTTATTGCTCAAAACAAATCATTAAAAGATTTTCCACAAATGCCATTATATGATAAAACAATGGGCGGCACCACAAGTTTACTAATTGAAGAGCTTCCAACAAACTTGCCTGAGTTAAGCAACGATGCCGACCTTGCGTCAATGCAATTCAATGAAGATCAAAGAGCAATTTATAACACAATATTGAACACTCTTGAAAATGATAACGACGAACCTAAAGTGTTTTTCATTGACGGTCCAGGTGGCACTGGAAAAACATTTCTTTATAATGCACTAATTAAGAAAGTGCAGTCAGATAAACACATTGTTCTCGCTGTTGCCACTTCAGGAATCGCTGCAACACTTCTTCCCAACGGAAGAACCGCTCATTCCAGATTTAAAATTCCAATTGATATTACCGAAATCTCTACGTGTAATATACCAGCAGACTCAGATTTGGCAAACCTTATTCGAGAGACAAAACTAATTGTTTGGGACGAAGCCCCAATGGCCAATAAATTCGTTTTTGAGGCTGTTGACAGAACATTCAAAGATATTACAAAGAAATTAGATTTGCCATTTGGAGGCAAAGTTGTTGTCTTCGGAGGTGATTTCAGGCAAATACTTCCTGTGGTGAGACATGGCTCTTCGAGCGATATATGTGATATGACTATACATAGATCATTTCTTTGGAAATCAATCAAAGTCTGCAAATTGACTATTAATCAAAGGGCTCTTCTATCCAAATCGGATGCGTCTGAATCACAAAAGTTTTCTGAATTTTTGCTGAATATCGGAGAAGCTACAGGCCCATATGAAGAAGAAATGATTGAATTGCCAGAAGCGATGTGTTCTAAATCGAAAACAGACAATGAATTCATTGATGAAATTTACGACAATTTAAATGAATGGACAATTCTGACTACAAAGAATTCATATGTCGATGACATTAATGAAAAAATTATTAATCGAAACCCAGAGATTGAACATGTATATCTCAGTGCAGATACTTTTGTCAATTCAGAGCATGAAAATATGATGCAAATTGACCAGATTCAAAACTTTACATATAGTGGTTTGCCACCACATAAATTGATACTAAAGAAAGACATTCCAATAATGCTTTTGAGAAATCTCAGCCCAACTAACGGCCTATGCAATGGGACTCAACTTCTCTGCAAAGAATTTCTTTCTCACGTTATTGTAGCAGATATAATTACTGGACCGAAAAAGGGTAATACAGTACTAATACCTAAAATGACATTATCGCCTTCTGATTCTGATATGCCGTATACTATCAGAAGAAAGCAATTCCCTGTTCGCGTCTGTTATGCAATGACTATAAACAAAAGTCAAGGACAGACACTAAAAAATGTTGCCATATATTTGCCTGAAGACGTCTTTTCTCACGGACAATTATATGTGGCTCTGTCCAGAGTGTCATCACTCAAAAATATTAAAATTTTTAATAATAAAAATCACGATAAGATAAATGAAACACGAAATGTCGTATTCAAAAATGTATTATCAAATATATAATTAGTTTGATAGTCAAATTAAAATACACAACGACAAAATAATAAACAAAAATAATTGGAGTGCCAGACATAAGTCTGTGCGGGTGTGAGGAGGGTTTCCAATTAAATTATAAATATTTATATGAACTGATTGCGATGTAATCGTTTAGAATCGGATTAATTAAACAAATGATGAAAGAATAAGTTCATGATGGCTTTACAAATCTGATGTTTAATGATCTGATGGTTAATTAACGTTTCGACTGAACACTATCCTTGAGTGTAATAAATTTTAAGAGTGAGATTTGACGGGTAATAGACTAGTAGTTCAATAATTACTTTTGATAATCAATTCGAGAGATAATTAATTTGTTGAATTCAATTATATTTCATAATTATTGTATTGTTTATAATGCAGGGACAAAAAAGTGCAGTGATAAAAAAGTGCAGGGACAAAAGTGCCTGGACAAAAAAGTGCAGGGACAAAAAAGTGCAGGGACAAAAAAAGTGCAGGGACAAAAAAGTGCAGGGACAAAAAAAGTGCAGGGACAAAAAAGTGCAGGGACAAAAAAGTGCAGGGACAAAAAAGTGCAGGGACAAAAATGCCTGGACAAAAAAGTGCAGGGACAAAAAAAGTGCAGGGACAAAAAAGTGCAGGGACAAAAATGCCTGGACAAAAAATGTTAATATGTTAATAATAAAAGTGAAATTAAAATTGATTTACAAAATAAATTTTGTAATAAATTCTTCTTCGGTATAATTGTGTTAATGTTTACGACAATTTCAATTGAGTTTATTTTAATTTCGCTTATTTTCCACTTCTTTTCGATGACTTTTGAAAAGATATTATAGACTTTGAATTGTTTGTCGATGTCTTTTGTAGAGTTGGTCTTGATTTGGATGCCATCGAAAGATTACTATTGATTGTCTCCTCATTGGTCACCACATATTGGTTTACATTAGCCTTATTGTCGACTGACTTCATGTACAGCCATAGGGAAACACATCCAATAAGTGATATCAAAACAATGGCAACAAAAACCACTCCCAACATAATTAACGTGGTTTTTAAATTACTGTTGATCTCGTTGTCAATCACTTTAGCACATGTGCCGTAATAAGCGGTCATATAATCCGATGATTTGCACTAAAAGTATATACAAAGTATTGATTAAAATTAGTTTTTAAAATTATGATAATGATTACCATGTGAGAAAGTGGTTTTTGATAGGGTGTCCAACAGTACTTCGGTCGGCCACTGATATTAAACCACAACAAATGACCTGAATGTCCGACAGTCATATAATCGACCACTCCTTCCAGTTGTCGGATCAAATGTTTAGGCATTTCATTGAAAAATGGGGGTAAATTGCATTGAGTTTCGGAGGCATAGCATGTTTTGTCCGTTTTATTATCAAAGTCTTGTTTGGTATAAAACAATTCAATGGAAGTATTTGCCAAATTATTTGTGTTTAAATGCATTAAATAGTTGTTTGGATTCATTTCGTCGACAACTGTAGCGCTGAATACAACATCAGTGGCCAGACTGTGATCTGTTGTGTTAAAGCCATGGCTTTCATAATGACATGAAGTAAAGCTGTTTTTATTTTGCAAATCCTATTGCAATCAAAATACAAGTATTACTAATTGAATTACTAATTTGTACGCGTTTTTCTCAAATACCGTATAATTAGTTTCACAATAAAAGGGATGCAATCGGTGTTTAGTATCACTCATAAGACCGGAGAATCTGTTGGCGAGTGTGGGTATTGTCCGCGCCGTTGAGTTCTTCATCACTATCTTCAGTGAATGTGTTGACTCACTCTCTAACCAAAACTGCCACTCGTTGTCCATTGAATACATCATATATTTGGACATTATTTTTGAGTCAATTAGATCCCATCGGCGGTACATTTTAAGACCATTGTATGTGCCGTTTGTGTCCATATATTCACACATATATTGACATTCAGTGACAGAAATGCAGACAATTATAACCAATATTGTTTTCATATTTGTAGTCTATAAGTAGTAGAAGTATTTGAAATTAATATGATAAAATAAACTATTATCACGTGTGTTTAAATGTTTATTATGATTGTTTTTATAGTAATTAACTCCATGTTAAACAAAACAAAATTTAATTTATTTTCGTGCCAATTATTCAAACTATTATTTAAGTCAGTAATTTATTAGTTGATTTAAAAATACAATTTAACTAAATCTGTAATAACTATTGAAATAATTATTTACTTTAAAGACCACTATTTGTAATGAAAACTCAATTCTTGACAGTATTTATAATTGGATTTTCGAGTAATAAATTGGAATAAAAGTATATTTAATAAATAATTACAATAATTGTGTACCAAATTTTACAGTAATAAATGTGCGGACAGTCGACTCTACGTTTACAAACACTGTTGGCTGTGGTGTTGGGGGTATTGTTGGCACCAAAGGTGTGAAGTCATTCATTGTGGGCGGAGTGGGCGCCGAACCCCTAGAGCTGCCATTCATGGTATCGCTTCAGGTCTTCAGTACCATTCATGGCAACAAATTTGTCAACTTTTGCGGCGGAAGTGTACTCAACGAGCGGTGGATATTGACGGCCGCCCACTGTGTGGAGCCCCTCATGCCGTCCGATATCAAGTTGATTATAGGGGCCGTCTATTACGATAATTATACAGATGAAAACGTTTATAAAACGGACAAATGGGTGATCAATGGGTGCTATAAGTTTGATAAAATGGATTTTATGGCCGAAGATATCGCACTGATTCATACAGAGACTGCTATTAAAATTAATGGCCAGAATATAGCGGCAATTTGTCTGCCGGCGCCGGGCGTTCAGCCCATTGGCAGTGATGTGTGGATCGCCGGTTGGGGCGTTTGGGACCCGGACTGGGAAGAGCCGTCTCGTAAGTTACAAAAAGTTTACACTAAGATTGTGAACGAAGAGATGTGTCACGTGTACGAGTGGTTCCGTAATGTCGGTCTTTGGCGGTTTCCCGAAGGCATACGTTTCTGTGTTATGAATGAAGATTCAACCGTATGTCGGGTATGAAATGGCTCTCTCTCTCTCTCTCTCTCTCTCTCTCTTTCTCTCATTAATCACATCTTGATATAAAGGGTGATTCCGGCGGACCTTTGATGCAAATAATGAACGGAACGGTATATCAATTGGGAATCGCATCGTTTATTCTCTCTCTCTCTCTCTCTCTCTCTCTTTCTCTCATTAATCACATCTTGATATAAAGGGTGATTCCGGCGGACCTTTGATGCAAATAATGAACGGAACGGTATATCAATTGGGAATCGCATCGTTTATATCAGTAACACTCCCGGTGTTTAATCGCTGTTCAAAAGGCAATCCAGCGTTTTATTTAAAGACCGAGCGATTAAACCAATGGATCGGCGATACGATCGCAAAGTACGACCAAATGGCTACTATAGATGAGACCATTTTCAAAACCAAATGTTAGGATCAAAATCAGACAAACACTTACTAAATTTATTGGGGAAAGATTTTATTGACTTTACTTTCAATAGATGCACATTATATTTATTTTTCAAAATGTTTTTCATATTAATTGTAAATAAATTTTTAAATTGTAGTTTTTATTTAAGTTTACGCGTAATATATTTATGAATTAAACATTTAAAATAAATAATTTGTTTTTACAAATGAGTTGTTAACTAAAAAGTGGCTAAAATTGTTTACCAAACTCTGAATCAGTTCTCATTTGCTATTATCACAATGGTTTAACTCACTGTCCCCTTAGGATCCTTAGAAAAAATAATATGAAACTAATATAATTGATAAATGTGATAATTTTATTCACTTTTTTCCACTGAAAATTTGAGTTATTCATAATTAAATGTACTTAGATTTGTTATCTCGTAAATAATAATAATGTTGTTTATTTAAAATTAAATGATTTATTATAAGTTAATCTTATTTATTGTTACATAACATTCAAAAAATTTATCATTATTTGCAATTATAACTGAAATTTAGATTAAATAACAAAGTATATGAATTTGTCAATAAGTTATTTAAGATAAAATCAAGTAAATTCATATCACAATCCAATTGTCAGTCATTCAAACAAACAATGAATTCAATGACAAAAATAGCGTTTTTGGTGATAATTATGATGGGATCGGATCAAGTGATTGATGGTAAACAACACAAGACTGTCCAATCGGGTGCCTCTAAGCCGATAAAGTACTTCCAGAGTGCGACCAAAGATTTGAGAGATTATATCAACTGTACGGACGAGAATGCGGTGATCACCAAATATCAAACTGATGTCATGCCTTGTCTTAGGGATAAATGGGATCCATTGCCTCATCCCATGCAGTATAACGATCGCGAGTGTTGTTTCCAATACGAAAGGCTGTGCGCTAAGAGTGTACACGTAAGTCAACGGAGCAATTGTGTTGTGCCGTTTGTATTATAATCTATGTTATAATGATTTGTGATTTCAGTTCATTAACGAATGCGCCCTAAAGACTGACTATGAGAAGCAGGTGCTCTTCGAGTACAACAAAATAGTAGACGATTGTATGCAACAGGGAAACACCAAGGTGTCGGGTGATATTTGTAGCAAACTGTCCACCAACCAAGTCAATGACCCCAAGTGTGTGCCAAAGTGGGTACACTGCCAGCTAACTGACAGTTTACCCGTTCAGACTACTGGCACACCGGCTATGAGTCCGAGTCACGGCACGGGTGGTTCTCCCATTCAGACCACTATCACACCTGGTATGAGTCCGAGTGCCCACACCAGTGGCCCTCCCATTCAGACTACTGTCACACCGGGTATGAGTCCGAGTGCCCAAACCAGTGGTCCTCCCATTCAGACTACTGTCACACCGGGTATGAGTCCGAGTGCCAACACAAGTGGCCCTCCCATTCAGACCACTGTCACACCGAGTATGAGTCCGAGTGCCCACACCAGTAGCCCTCCCATTCAAACTACTGTCACACCGGGTATGAGTCCGAGTGACAGCACCGGTGGTCATACGACTTCACGTCCTGTCACTACAACCGATCGGTCACATCGCGGCGGCGCCCGTACTCTCGCTATTAATACTCATATGATGTTTGCCATCATTTCACTCTTGGTTTTCATTGTATTCATTTATATCTAGAAAGTTTTTGATATATTTTTAATTTATTGTTTATGCATTGAATTCTCGTTTATATTTAAAAATTGAATTATAATTTATTCTAAATGACTACCAATTTATAAATTGTAAACTAAATGTTATTTTAATAAAACCCATGATTTCATTATCAAAACATAAGAATTTCTAAGTTTTTGATAATAAATTGATTGTAAAATCGAGATATTGTTGTCACAAACCAATTGTCATTAATTTGTTAGGCATTCAAACAAAATAATGTTGAGATTCAAACATATCATTTACATTGTTATCTAAATTCTGTTTGAATTTATAATAATTTGAAAACTATTTACAATTATAACTGAAATTTAAACTTAAATACTTTTGATATAAAGAGCTTTTACTGAATTATTGATAATAAAATCAATTAAATTGCTTTTGCAAACCAATTATCAGTTAGTATTTGTCAGCCATTTAAACGAGACAATGAATTTAATGGCAAAAGTGATACTTTTGGTGACAATAATTATTGAAACAAATGGTAAATCAATACGAGATTATGTGAAATGTAAAGACATAGATAGGGTAATGGATGAATATGGTCACATCACCCCTTGTCTCACCCAGAAGTGGAAAACATTAGCGAGTGGTCACTATAATGACCGCGAGTGTTGTTTCCTACTCGACAGACACTGTGTAAANGATTTCGTGTGTTTTATATGTGTAAACAACGATTTATTTATGATCATTTAAGAAATTGGATATAGAAACATTTGACAATAAACTTGTATGTCTTGTCGTTAAAATCATTGTTTTATTTAATTAACCAAACGATTGGTTAAGAGTTAAAAATTAAGTTTTTAAAAATAAATTAATAAATCAAGAATTATTAAACGTTTAAAAAATAAACTGAAAAAGAAATAAATTTGTCATATATTTTCTACATAAAATGTTTAAAATCGTATATAAATTAGATTTTGGTTTTATTTCAAATTATAAGTTAATATCAAATATAAAAAAAGTAATACATAGAAAATAAAACTAAAATAACATGAGATTAAATACAGTTCAGAATAAATTGAGAAAAATAAACATTTCATATAATTTTCTACATTTGAATGAATGTAATGAAAGCTAATAGAGAAATGACGACAAAACTCAGCGGAGATTTGGTATCCGCGCCGCTGTGTTGTGGCTTTGCTGGGGAACCGGGACCCGAGCCCTGACCCGGAGCACCGGTATTGGGATCGTGTCCGCCGGTCGTCACAACGGGACTGACTGTCGGTCTGTTTGGTTTGCACTGTTGATAGCGTTGACACTCCGGCCGCAGGATTACAGTTGGGTTAAGCGCGGCGCAGGACTCGTCGGTCACCACAACGCTGTCATTTTTGCATCTGTCGGCCTCGAATTGGTAATCCCTTTCCAGCGCTTCCGCGTACCCGTCCATTGGTGTGCACTCACTGTTGAACTAAACAATAATAAACCAAATCATTATTAAGACCGATATGTTATACAACGTGTGGGTAAGTGTTGGTCACCAGTTTGTCTCGGGAACAGACGACGTCCACAAATTTACAGCACTCTCGGTGATCGTGCGGACCCGATGTCGAGTACGGCCACCACTTGTCTTTCACACAGTTCTTGATATCCTTGAATGCGTTGAGAACCTGTTCCTTATCGATACAGTCCATAAAGTCTTCGGGATATTGGGGTTTACCCGACGACTGGAAGTACACTTTCCTGTCGTCACCACCCGATGACACCCTCTCTTTGCTGTTGTGTTGTTTACCGCTAATCACTCGATCCGTTCCCATCATAACTGTCACCAAAAGCGCCACAAATATCAATGAATTCATTGTCGCGTTTGAAATACTGACAAAATTGACAATTGATTTGTGATATTAATTCAATTAATTTTATTATCACTTTTTTAATAAAACCAATTCTTTGATACAAAACCCGTTGAATATATGAGTTTAAATTATGTAAAGGTTTGTAAATAGTTTTTGATTTCGTATGAATTTAAACATAATATACGACAACAATGCAAAACATTAAATAATTATTGATTACTTTTGAATGAATTATTAGCACATGTTTTAATATAATTAAATCGAGTATTTTTACTATTTTATGATCACCGAAGAAATCTGATATTGTTTACACTTTTTGATAAAACAAGTGTTGAAATTGTCATTAAAATAATGTTTTTATTCGACTAACTATTGATTGAGAATCTAAAAAATCAATTTAATTTTAGATGTAAACCAATGAATCATTAAAAGATAAAAAAACAAATTGAAAAATAAATAAATATTTCATATAATTTTCTACATATGAATGAATGAAATGAAAACCAATAGCGAAATGACGGCAAACATCACATGAGAGTTAAAAGGGAGAGTACGGGCGCCCACACTGTGTGACCGATCTGTTGTCTGATTGGGATTCAGTTGTGTATCAGTCGGTCGGCTTTGGTTTGGTATAGCAGTGGACTGATTGGCCGCATGTTTGCATTGTAACCACTTTTGCTGACACTGGGAGTCATCGACTTTATTAATGGCTACTCGACTGCAAAACTCTTCGGACACATCGATGTCTCCCTTTTGTTTGCAATCACTTTTAATTGCGTCCAACTCTTTGTCCAATAGGGGTGTGAATCCCAACAATCGGGTGCATTCACTCCGAAACTTAATTACAGACAAAAACCATGTATTACTATAACAAATGCATAGCACAAGTGATAATGATTTACGTGTTGATCCTTTACACAGTGTCTGTCGAGTAGGAAACAACACTCGCGGTCATTATAGTGACCACTCGCTAATGTTTTCCACTTCTGGGTGAGACAAGGGGTGATGTGACCATATTCATCCATTACCCTATCTATGT